AAAAATGTTGAGAGGTCAAAAAATTCTCATACTGTTTTACAAAACATTTCATCATCATAATGGTCGCATTATTCGTTTATATTGTTCTATAATTAAATAACGATGTGACATTTATTTAATTAGAACAAAAGTACATTTATAGTTTAGCATGTGGAATGTTAACAATTTCTTAATAAAGTTTTAAATATATAACAGATTTAACAATAATAATTTCTAAATCATACGCATCACGTATCGTATATAATCCCATACACTGTACCGCTGTGCAGTAGGGAATTCCCTTAATTTTTACGATTTTTCTTTTTCATCCGTAAAAATGGTCAGCGAACAAAGCGGTGTTCTTTCAGGGAATAATCCCATGAGTGTTAACAAAACTGACCCTCTAACACTCGCCATAGTACAGGTAAAAAAAAAATCGTCCCAAATTTGTTTCACGGAATAAAACGGAATTCTTCCGGCGAATTCACGCTTTGTTTACATTTAAGTTCGCGGGAAGTTGGTGATTATATAAAGATATTAAAAAAAATTTTAAAATTTATTAACTTTTTATATCCAACAATATATACATACTCATAATAGGTCGTTATAATAGTAGTTTTTACTCGTCTTCTTCATCTTGGTCTTAAACATATTCGTCAACCACGAGTTATATCTGAAGTGATAGGTGGAATTATCCTTGGCCCTTCTGTATTGGGCCATATTCCGGGATACAAACACAATGTATTTCCAGACGAATCTATTACTTACCTCAACCTTCTGGCTAATTTGGGCCTGGTCCTATATTTATTCTTGGTTGGTTTAGAATTGAATCCAAGGATGATAAAAAATAATTTAAGATCCGTTGCTTTTATCTCTGCGTCTGGTATCATATTACCTTTTGCCTTGGGTGTAGGCGTCGCATATGGCCTGTATGGTGCAATGAATAATCAGCAAGTTGATGGTCAGAATGTGCCGTTTACTAGTTTTGTACTGTTCATCTGCGTTGCCATGGCTATTACGGTAAAAAAATTCGTTTACATAATTACCTAAAACGCGTGCGTGTATCTCCGTAGAGACATCAACATCCTTGCTAAATTACAGGCCTTCCCGGTCCTTGCGCGTATATTATCGGAGCTGAAGCTTATGAGAACTCCCGTGGGTAATTGTGCGCTAACCTCTGCTGTTGGTGACGATATTACCGCTTGGATTCTGCTTGCATTGGTTATTGCAATAATTAATGCCGCAAACTATCTAACGGCTCTTTATTCTTTCTTACTCTGCGCTGGCTGGACCTTAATTGTTGGTTTTATTGTTCGTCCGATCTTATTAAGAATTATTATTGCAACTAATTCAAATCAAACTTCTCCATCAACATTAATGGTTGCTATTACTTTATCGATCGTTTTAATATCTGCGTTTATTACAAATATCATTGGTGTTCATTACATTTTTGGAGGTTTCATTATTGGGGTAATACTTCCTCATGAAGGAGGTTTCGCGGTGGGAATTACTGAAAAAATTGAAGACCTGATTAGTGTCCTGTTCATACCTATAGTAAGTATTA